CCATTGTGCTTATGTACGTGGCATGCCTTTCGATAGATGTTCTTCCCTTTTCGACATAGATATTGAAGGTTGCATTTGAACGTGGTAACCTCTGATCATCACTTGAAAATGTGGTTCATGTTTATACCAAATTTTCTGCCTTTCTGAAAGTTACGAATTGAAAGAACTTGAACTTGTGAATGAATAATCTGACGTACCTCTTTCCTCATTAGTGTAAATGTTACCTCATCATAACTCGCTGCCTTACTTCCAGACAGTAAGCCTTATTGATTCGTTTAAAATGTGAGTTTCTACTTTCTTTGCTTATTTGTAGATAAAAGCACTTATGAAACGGATCGATTCAATTTGTCTTGAACAGTGTGACCCCCCTTCCAAAATGTAAGTAATAGTTCAATTATTCATTCTTGTTCTGAAGTATATTATTTCAGCTGTCTTTTGGACATAACGAATTTTCATAATAATGCACATCAATCCTTCATTTCAAACAGGAAAATACCAGGAGTTTTGATAAAAGATTGGCATTTTTGAGTCTTTCGTCATAACTACTTACTTGGGCAGTCATGTAGTCGACTGTCGTGAGCGTTGATCGTGGTCATAGTCGTAATGATTTCATTGAAGATGGAAAGTCATGAGCTTAAAATAGAAACAACCCAGATGTCTGCCGGCCATAGTACCTCCTCGAGTTTTTTAAATGCCTTTTTTTGCGTTTTCTAATTTCTGTGCGGAATAATTTGCATGCTAAATTGTATAAGTAATGAAGACCTTGGTATATACAGTAATCGCCTGAAATGAAATATGAATGAGTTATGGTTAATAAAATCAAGACTCTTAGACAAAATAGTCATTCGGTCACTTTGGCAGAAACTCACCAGTCAGGAATATATGTAATAGTTTATTTGTAAGACCATAAACACAGAAAGTTTAAAAAGAAGAGGAAAAGGAATGAAAGGAAAGAGAAAATCAGTAGAAAAAACATCTTATTCTGTTCTGGTAGTATAATCGCTTTTGAACAACGCATCCTCTAAATATTTTTATCGCCAAAATCTTCAGTGCTTACTTCGCATATAAATTATTGAATAAATTCTGGACGTTTCGGGTAGAGCTGGATCCATCGTCGGAGGACATTATGTAACAACAGTTGCAAAAATAGTGTCATAAACGTCGTTGCATTGTGCGTAATGATCTTAATGTGTAAATACGACCAACGAATTGCAGTTCAATCTGACAGATATAGTTGAATTTTGGCTTTCGTTGCCAAGTCAGTTTGTTGCTTTCTTCCAAATTGATGACACGTCCTCGTCGTTTTTCTCTTAAGACATTCGCATTGATATATCAGAAACGCTTTTTTGAACATCTTTAAAAGAAGCGTTCTTGATGCTGTCACTAGTGACTGAATAAAGTCAGTAATTTTTAAAACTTGTCTTTATTGCCTCAACATTTCACAAAAAATAACTAGCCGTATTTATATTTTATCGTATTTTCTGTTTAGTGTCATCGTCAGCCAGTGGGTGAAATTGCTGGAACTCATTGCCATTCATCTTCGACAGCATCGAATATCATACACCAGTATAACTGGCTCGCTAACAGTCACTGAACGAGGAGAGCGAGTTGAAAGGTTTAATAACCTTCACTCAGGTCCCTTGGTAAAAATTTGAACGTAGCACATGTTCGAAATAAAGCTTCATTTGAGGTCATGTTGTTATCATTGAGTGCTGGTGGCGTGGGCCTTAATCTCATCGGTGGCAATCACTTATTCGTGGTTGACTTGCATTGGTAAGTTATGAGACGCTTCTTTTGTGAATTCTGTAAATAGCGTTTGTAGAATGTATGTCCTCCATTTCCTATTGGCAATGCTTCTTGTTTGAGCATAAACGAAGTATACCCTAACACGAAAGAGGAGGTGGCGCGGTGTGTCGTGAAACTTGATCTTATAAGATTTATGCGCAAATTGACCTAATTTGGCGTTCCAACATATTTTGGTGTTTATGCAGCAGCATATACGGAGTACCAGCTCCTAGCGAACAAAATGATGCGAGATGCATCTGGAACTGTAGACACTCAGATACCATGAAGCCGTGGCCTGTTTAAATTCCCCGTAGATAAATAAGAGCAATGGGACGGTGCAGTACACAGAACCTGGTCTAAGATTAGTTGCTGTTTTACGTAATTCGACGTGCTTAAATGCTTTAGATGCTTCTGCGATGGATGTCGAGGGTGATATCTCCATATCTTAATGTAATTTTCCACTGTGTAATTATTGATTTTTATAGTCTGTTTGATGCATAGCTCAGAAATTTTATGATAAAGGGATATTCATTTATCACTTCTTCTATTTCTCTGCCAGCCAAGGTTCTCCTGTCGAATCAAGTTAACTTGATCTATGTAGCACAGGACTTGGGGTTCAAATCCCTCTCGGTTCGCTCATCTTTTTTCGATGCAGTGTAAATAAATGATCACCACTGCAGGTAATTAAATGTTGCTTGCTACATACTGTAAATATTGTCCTCATAGGCAGTGTCCTTTAACTGGTTGCACTAAACTTCAGATTTTCATTGAATCGTAATCTGCATGATACAGTTACCACCGATAACAGCGTCGTTCTTACAAGTAATGACCAAAATATCGATGGTTACACAATTTCCTTTTGTTTTTCTTTATCCTGACAAGTTTTTCATTATTTAGAATACTCGATCATTGAATAACATGTTACCTTGCCTTTTTTGTTGTCTAATGCCGTCCAAATGCTAATGTTTTTGCTAATTGATAATATTAATAACAGTAATAGTAATTGCTACTAATCTTATTGACATTTCTCCCATCTTCGATGACTGCTTCATCGTTACAACATTTGTGAACCTTCTTATTCTCATTCGAGATGCTGTGCTAAAAATGGCAGTCTAGATAGTAATAAAGGCCAATAGTAAGAATGACTGACGATATGGTCACTGCCATATAATACCAGAGTGTTGAGAACCAATCTAGAACTACATAAGAAATCAGGTGCTCTTTGTTGTCAGCGACAAATACTTCCTGTAACGTTGAACACAGCCGTAAATGTAATAACTACAGTACATTACTGTGAAACGCAGTTCCTCGTACGAGCATCGGAATTACCATAAATAAATTGTAGATCCGTAAATGCGTTTATTGTTCAATGTAATAAGGTTCCACTGTATTCAGGTTTCTTATCGAAATAGTCTTGTTTCTATCTTTGCCCTCTAAGACTTCATTCAGCTCTCTTTTTCGTTTTCGAAAACGAAGTCCCAAACCAGAAGTTTATTTGTTTGGCTATTAGATAATTGTTTGTAGGAATCCGGCGCTAGAGAAGCAGGCATGCGACCGAATTTACAGAGTTGGTCAGAGCAGAAATGTCTTCATTCACAAGTAGGCTGTTTAGGTAGAAATGTAATTTTCAATAACTTTTTAATTAATTAGGTTTGTTTGCAAGAACACAATTGAAACAAAAGTGTTGGAGCTGCAAAATAGTAAACTAGCTTTGGCTAAAAGTGTTTTGACAGGGTAAGAAGTGATAAATTCCTGTTGTTCTTTAATGTATTCTTTTTGACGTGGTTTTAGAGCTGGAATGAAAGGGTTTAATTCGCTTACAATTAGAGATCTGACGTTTCTTTTCAGCTTGGGTATTCCTGAAACGTTTCCAAAGACAATTGTGCCTTAATGTGTTTTATTTTGTTACTGTTATTCTGCTACTTTAGCGAGTTTTTTGAAGTTGCAAACGTGTTAGGGTTCCTTCGTAGCACAAAGGTTTTTGCCACGTTTTTAGAAGTTGATATTCTGTATAACAGCTCCAAGCATGAAATATACTAAGTTTTCTCATTGCGTTATATGTCAAAACTGGGAATAGATTTTATGGTATATAAATAGCTGTTAAAATGCAAACGAAATGAAACAAAGCAAACGGGTGAACATGGTAGGCTTTTTGACATACCTAAGTGAATTTCGGAAAGTTCAGTCTATTTCATAGACATTCATGCGGTGGCGGTTGCTACTGATATCTGCCAGGTGCAACAGCGTTCATATCAGAAGGTACCAACAGGCACCATTAGTCCCTTAAATACCACTAATACAGCATGACGCTTAAACTCATGAACGCTGTTGAAAACCACACACGTGTTGTTTCGTTCATATTTGATTACATAAACGTAGATGATATAAAGGTTTAGGCAGATTATTAGGCATTACGTGAGCTAGCTGACTATTCACACATGGCATAAGAGATGTTATATCCATTTATTGATACCACTAAAAGCTTGGAAGCAAATAGTCTTCAACTAATGTGCGGTACGAAGATACGAACAAGACGACAGCGAAAGCAGTAGCCAAACACGCTACAGGGAATGTTTGACAATGGATCATACGTTACTGTGCTCAGCTATGGATAAGCTATAATAGCTAACCTTCTCTACTGTATGACAATCTGCCTTTCGAACCACGAAATAGCGATACTTCAGTGTCATCAGTACCGTTACGATGCACAAATTTAAGCAATTTCGCAATTTAAGCTAAATTTACTTTGCAAATATTCAATACTTCACAAAACGTAAATATACAAGAGTTTCCTCAAGCAAAACCAAAACCTTCGGGACACTCCTGAATTGCAAGTAAAAGCATCTGTCGTAGCTTGTCGTATGTCTCATATGGCGGTAAGTCCAACTGATTGAAGCTAAAAGCAAGCGTGCGTCAGAAGAGTTTATAAACGGACCAAATAATATAGAAAGGCAGGACAAACCATGTATGAGCAGTCGGCAGACGTTCAGTGGATCGGTCATCACGGTGAATCTGGAATCGTTGAACACCATGCATACCCTGCAACGACGAGAAACCCTGGAGCGGAACTTTGCTCGTGCCAGTAACAAACTGTAAGAACTTTGCTCTATCTGCTTGGTCGAAAGAACGGAGAGCGCGCCAGAACCATTGAATCTAAAGCAAATCAATGAAAGCATGTGAGGATAACGAAAAGTTAGACAGTAAATTTAAATAAATAAACCGTAAGACGTAAAAAAAACAGAAGGCAGCATCGGCAAATAATTTGATGTGCCAATCGATATGAGATGAAATGAAATAAAATATATAACAAATGCTAAGAACTAATAATTGCCACCGCAAAACTGGCCATAAATTTGCATTCAACAAAAGCTTATAAAAGAAACAAGCTCCGTGACTAGTCCAACAAGCATAAAACAGTATGCCATTATTTAGAATAAGGAAACTACGCCTGGTTGACTTTCTACTCATCATACGCAGGACCAGGTTGAATAGTGCACGCTACGAAGCGGTAATGCATAGATTCGTTCTGATAACACAGTGCAGTGTTGCAGGGAACAATAGGTGAGTACCTGAGATTATCTACTAAACAGGCAAAACTACTATATTCCGAGACATCGATTCGGTCATGCTCATGTTTCAGAGGTGTCATATAAAGCGTACAATAGGTCTCCCTTAATGTGCTAGCGTTTGAACTGGCTACGAATAGAGTCATGAAGTAAAAGTCGAAAACGTGGGCAGTTTTGCTTTCGAGTTTTATGCACTAGACTTTCAAGGAGCTATTAAATTAAGTGCAAACAGTGCAGCAGGAGTCTCTCCTGTTTCCCAATTTTCCTTCGCTATCAACTGGAAGAACATACCGTCAGATGATCGCT